AAAAACTGAAAAAAAAAAAAAATCATTATCTGTTTTTTCATTTTGATTTTGGAGACAAATAATGCAGAAAATCGTATTTTTTTTCTTTAGTTTTTCATTTTTTATTTTTTATTTTTGAAAAATTAATGAACAAATGACACATGGATGGATCTACAGTACTTACGTTACCTTACTTACGATGTTTCGTTCTAGTCTTGAGGTTGTTTGAGTCATTTTCTGATAGATTTAAGTGTTTATATTTTAATCTTTTTGCAGTGAAGCCTTTTTATTTAACTACATTTTTAAATCTTGGTCTTGATCAGAGAAATTTACAGTTTTTGTAAATGGTCGTAGAGTGGCGCTTTTGTCCCTAAATCAAGATAAGAACATCAATAACAGAACAATCAGGAGCTTTTTTTCCCTGAGTTTGATTTCAGATTTCTAAATTTGGGCTTCGGTTACAGATGCTGCTACAACTGCAACTGCTACCCTCGATAAGCTTCATTTGACTGAACGCTCTGGTGCTCCTCTGCTGTTACACTGACCTCTCTGTGTCTCTCTGGTGATTCAGGTGGAGAACGAGTTCCGTCAGGAGTACGAGGAGCTCTCCCAACAGTGCAAACGTTTCGCCAAAGACCTGCTGGACCAGGCTCGCAGCTCCAGAGAGCTGGAGACCATCCTCAATCACCGTGACAACGACCAGAGCGAAGAGCTGGACCCGCGACAGTGCCACGACCTCGCCAAGCTCAAGCTCGCCATCAAGTACCACCAGAAGGAGGTAGGACTGAAACTGGACTGAACCAGGACTAAAAACCAGGACTAAAACAGGTCTAAAACATGACTAAAACAAGGACTAAAACAGGACTAAAACAGGTCTAAAACATGACTAAAACAGGGACTAAACCAGGACTAAAACAGGTCTAAAACATGACTAAAACAGGACTAAAACAGGACTAAAACACTAAAACAGGACTAAAACATGACTAAACCAGGACTGAACCGACTGAACCAGGACTGAACCAGGACTGAAAGGACAAGGACTAAAACAAGGACTAAAAACAGGACTAAAACAAGTCTTAAACAGGACTAAACATGACTGAACCAGGACTGAAACAGGACTAAAACAAGGACTAAAACGGGACTAAAACAGGACTAAACCAGGACTAAAAACAAGGACTAAAACAATGGACTAAACCAGGACTAAAACAGGTCTAAAACAGGACTAAAACAGGACTAAAACAGGACTAAAACAGGACTTAACCAGGACTGAACCAGGACTGAACAAGGACTAAAAACAGGTGATAAAACATGATTAAAAATGACATGACTAAAACTGGACTAAAACAAGGACTGAACCAGGACTGAACCAGGACTAAAACAGGACTAAAACATGACTGAACCAGGACTAAAACAGGCGGGGCCTCGTCATCCACATTGAGCGACTCTCACCTGGAAAAACTTTTTCCACTGGACACAGAAACATATGTGCTGCTTTATCCACTGTGCACATGGACTCACACTTGTCCCAACGCAACGGAAAGTGTGGAATTTCTTCTACAAATCCTGGTTAAATCCACATTTGTGCTTCGGTTCGTTACAGACTGACCCACTGTTTGTGTCTCGCTCCTTCTGATGCAGAGACACATGTACACACCTGTTTGGTCACGACACACAAAACATACATTCAGTTTGTCCATTAAAATGAACGTAATCGATGAAATTCTTAACGATCAATTATCGATTAATCGACTAATCATGCCCATCCCTAATATGGAGTCACAAGGGCCTTTCCAAGCTCCTCCAGGAAAGATCCTCCTCCAGTTCCTCCTGCTTGTCCTCCAGGTCGGGTTCAGCTCCATAGACAAACGGGCAGCAGGAGGTTCTGCTCTTGCAGCTGTTTGTGCCTGTTACTTTGTCAAGGTTTTCCACTCCTCTTTTGTTGGCATTGTAGTCAAGAACGACAACGATGATGATGTTGATGTTGATGATGTTGATGTTGATGTTCATGATGGAGCTTCCAGGAGCTCACCTCTGCAGCCATATTATTACATGTAATGTGCTCATGAGGATGACAGTCTTGATCATTCCTTTCACTCTTTTGTGATTCTCCTTTGCCCCTTCAAAAACCGACAGGTGTTGGTTCACGGGGGAATCTCAAAACAGTGAACTCTTGAACTCTGTCACCACTGTCCCATAAAAAAATACACACACAAACATGGTCTGTGCAGTTTCACAGTTTCAAGTTTCCCTAAAACTTCCATTTTGCTTCATTTGACCCGCACTGACGGAGCTAAAGTTCATCTTAATAGATCCGGGTCAAAACTGATTCGAAAAAGCCTCAGTGTCCTAAAACTTGTAGCACCTGTACAAAAGTATTTAAAACATTACAAAACATTTTAAAACATTTTCATTTTTGTGTATTTTGGCCAAATTTTGGAAAACTCATCAGATTTCAGGGTAAAAGAATGATGTTTAGGGTGTTTTTTCTACCGTTGAATTTGACCTGAACAGTATAAACTGTTCATCAAATACACGTCACGTAACACGTCCCTGTCACGGACTCCATTTTGAGGACTTAGTTTTGCCCCGTACGCTGCGATTATCCCGTCCCCCCGAGGCCCGCGGATCAGAGTTTAAATCAAATCCCTTTTATGAATGAATTGCCAGGGCCCGTTCGTCTTCTCAAAGTCACCTCCTGATCGTGGTTAGTTTTTTTACGGCGCCGCCTTCGCTGACATCAGCCCCGTCGTAAATCTGAGCCTCACTTTCGTACATTGTCCCTGGCGTCCGTATGGAGTAAATGAGGAGACGTTAGCGGGACGAGTTATGGCTCCAAAACAAAGAGGCGAACAACTGCCCTTGAGAGGAGGGACGGGGAGACGGGGGGAGTGTGTGAGTGGAGTTCCGTCGCCATCTTGTTTCTATAATCGAACTTTGTTTACGCTGCAGAATCATCCGTGTCCGAGGACGAGCGTCTGTTCACTGGCCTCACTGATGTTTTATCCACTCTGTGGTCGAACGTGAAAAAGACAAAATCAGCTCCACTTATTGTCAAGATCATTAAACATTTCTTATTCTTAATATTTTAGTTTTATTTATTCTTTAATTTCTTTTTAAAATAGCCTTTTAGAAGATTTCGCTTTTGCTCTTGTATGTTACAGAATTAAGTAGCCTGTGTGTACTTCTTCACTCTGTGGTATTGGACTGGTATCGGTATCAGCAAGTAGTAGTAGTAGTAGTAGTAGTAGTAGTAGTAGTAGTAGTGTAGTAGTAGTAGTGTAGTAGTAGTAGTTAGTAGTAGTAGTAGTAGTAGTAGTAGTAGTAGTAGTAGTAGTAGTAGTAGTAGTAGTAGTAGTAGTAGTAGTAGTAGTAGTAGTAGTAGTAGTAGTAGTAGTAGTAGTAGTAGTAGTAGTAGTAGTAGTAGTGTAGTAGTAGTAGTAGTAGTAGTAGTAGTAGTAGTTGTAGTAGTAGTAGCAGTAGTAGTAGTAGTGTAGTAGTAGTAGTTAGTTGTAGTTGTAGTAGTAGTAGTAGTAGTGTAGTAGTAGTAGTAGTAGTAGTAGTAGTAGTAGTAGTTAGTAGTAGTTGTAGTAGTAGTAGTAGTAGTAGTAGTAGTAGTAGTAGTAGTAGTAGTAGTAGTAGTAGCAGTAGTAGTAGCAGTAGTAGCAGTAGTAGTTGTTGTAGTTTTTGTTGTTGTGTAGTAGTAGTTGTAGTAGTAGTTGTAGTAGTTGTTGTTGTAGTAGTAGTCGTAGTTGTAGTAGTAGTAGTAGTAGTAGTAGTAGTAGTAGTTTTAGTAGTAGTAGTAGTTGTAGTAGTAGTAGTGTAGTAGTAGTAGTAGTTGTAGTAGTAGTTGTAGTAGTAGTAGTAGTAGTAGTAGTAGTAGTAGTTGTAGTAGTAGTAGTAGTAGTAGTAGTAGTTGTTGTAGTAGTAGTAGTAGTAGTAGTAGTAGTAGTAGTAGTAGTGTAGTAGTAGTAGTAGTAGTAGTAGTAGCTGTAGTAGCAGTAGTAGTAGTAGTAGTAGTTGTAGTTGTTGTTGTTGTAGTAGTAGTAGTTGTAGTAGTAGTTGTAGTTGTTGTAGTAGTTGTTGTAGTAGTAGTAGTTGTGTAGTAGTAGCAGTAGTAGTTGTAGTAGTAGTTGTTGTTGTAGTAGCAGCAGTAGTAGCAGTAGTAGTAGTTGTATTAGTAGTAGTTGTTGTAGTTGTAGTTGTTGTTGTTGTAGTAGTAGTAGTTGCAGTAGTAGTTGTAGTGTAGTAGTAGTAGTAGTAGTAGTAGTACATGTAGCAGTAGCAGTAGCAGTAGCAGTAGTAGTAGTAGTAGCAGTAGTAATAGTAAGTAGTAGTAGTAGTATTAGCAAGTAGTAGTTGTATTAGTAGTAGTTGTTGTAGTTGTAGTTGTTGTTGTTGTAGTAGTAGTAGTTGCAGTAGTAGTTGTACTTCTTCTTCTTCACTTGCCGCTTGATCGGTCCGTCAGAAAATAGAGTCCCGCGGTCACTTCTGTTGTGGCTTTTTAATGTGTTGTTGGCTTTTTAATGTGTTGTGTGCTTTTTAATGTGTTGTGGCTTTTTAATGTGTTGTGGCATTTGCGTTTGTGTTGTGGCGTTTGCATTAAAATAGAGTCCCGCGGTCATTTCCGTTGTGGCTTTTTTTTAAATTTTATGTTGTGGCATTTGTATTTGTTGCGGCATTTGCGTTTGTTGTGGCGTCTCTCGGCTTCCGTACGAAAGCGCTGCCTAAAACTGCCTAAAACTGATTTAAAACCAGATCTAAACCAGGACTGAAAACAGACTTTAGTCAGCCCCGTGCGAAATATTGCCACGTGCTTAATCATGAACTTAATAAACTGTTACAAACATTTCACATCAAACTGTGACCAAAAGAGTTTAGGCTGAAGTGAAATCACCTCTGAATGTCTGACCCTGTTTACACACGACGATGCCGAGAATACGACCCCAAGACATTTCTCTTCGTTTGTTTCCATCTTTTACATGCAAACGGGAAATTTGCCTCTGAAAACAAATCTTTGTAAAAACTCCGTCTAGAGTGGAAATTGTGTAAAACTCTGGTCTGATGTTTGTGTAACGTGAGAGAAACTGAGTTTCAGGAGCTGATGTGACAAAAGTGTGACCACTGTTTTCCTTTTGCTCTGATGATGAAGATGATGATGAAGCATCAGAGCAGAAGTCACATTTCTTCTGGTGAAACACTTTTCATCTGTTTCATTTTCACACAGTTGATGTTTCATATCCATTAGCAGAGACCAATGAGGCTTTATCAGATCTGTGGAGAGGCGAGCCGCTCACTAATGCACCATTTTAAATGGATTTGTGAATAAAACTTACAACTGTAATGAAATAAAAGCTACAGTTTTGAGTCTGATCCAGCTCCGCCCAGAGTCTCGGTGTAGTTCTGACGGCGCTCGATGGAGGATTTATGCGGCTCCATGTAAACGAAAACTTTGTGGAAAACGATGCTGTGAGCATCATGTGATTTTGGAAAACACAGGGAGGGAAATATTTGTTTCTCAACAAACCCGACTCTGTGCTCTGTCCGTCTACAGCTGTGAACAAACAATGTGTTGTGTGTTGTGGCTTTTAAATGTGTTGTGGCTTTTGTGTTTGTGGTGTGGCTTTTTAATGTGTTGTGTTTTTTTAATGTGTTGTGGCTTTTGTGTTTGTGTTGTGGCTTTTGTGTTTGTGTTGTGGCTTTTTAATGTGTTGTGGCTTTTGTGTTGTGGCTTTTTAATGTGTTGTGGCTTTTTAATGTGTTGTGGCTTTTTAATGTGTT